TAAAGACTCAGATTAGGGGAGCAGATAGAGACAAATGCTGGAGTAGGAGACTCACTGCTAATGAAATGCTGTGACACTTCAACACAAGCTATGTGGGGAGATCTCAGAAACCTCCTTTTTGGTAAAAAAAAAGTAACCCATTTCCATCAGCGTTTTATTTCCTGCTAATGGGTCAGGACTCTTCCCAGTTATCCTCTGCAGCATGAAACACCAAGGCTACCTCATCCCCTGCCCTCTGGGAATGTGATTCTGGCTTTGTAGGTTATCTGGGGTGGCATGGGGGAGGAAGCAGGGAAGAAGAACGATGGGGTGCTGTGCAGATGATTCTCATTAATTTTGGAAGGAGTTATAAAAAGTAAGCTTTAAAGTCTATCCTAAATATAAAGATTCAGCTGATTGAGAACTCATCTGCTTCTATCTCTTGGGTAATCGTGAATACACTTCTGCTGTGTCACTTCAAAGGCACAGCACAGCTGGGAGGGTTTTCATCAAAGCTTCTGCATGTCTGGGGGAGGTTTTCCCCCCCATGAATATACATCACTGGAGGCTGCTTTTCCCAGCTTTTCCCATGCCTCTCTCTGATTGATCCTCATTTCATTCAGACGAGCTCTTCCTCTCTGGATGGCTAAAGGGCAAGAGACAGCTCTCTCCAAAGCTTTCCCACTTGCCTGGATGCCTCTCCGAAGATTTTCCTCTCATCAGAGTGGGGGAGGGAGGGAGCTGTTCAGACAAGAGATTGAGCCTTTAAATTAATTCTTGTCATCTGAGGGCTGGGCCTGATAGTAGCGGGGGTGGGAAGCATATTCTCCCAGTATCGGGACTCTGGCCAGATCCTCATCTGGTGTAAATGTGTGCCAGTGGACTGATCTCAGCAGTCTTGTCATCAAAACTACAAGCCTTAAAACACTCCCCTCTCCACAAGGCAGCAGGTTGCTGGGTGAAACCAGCATCATCCTCTGTGTGTCTGCCCTGCGGAGTACGTGAGCTCCACAGACTAGGAACACTTGCTGAAATTGCTCAATTCCCCTCTTTTTCAGTGGGGAGGGAGGGCCAGGCAGCTCGGTGGAATTTCAAACACTCAGCCACCCTCAGCCGGGTTGGGATTTCACAAGAGCCCAGACCCTGTGCGCACCCAGCACGTGCAAAGTGCTGGTGGAAATCTGGGCCCCTCTCCTCATCTCAGGTGGGAGCTCAGCCCTCCTGGAAATTCTGGGCCCGGTGCCACTTGGTTACAGCACGTCTCCTGGCTGGTGGCCAGATCGGAGGAGTCGGAACCTCATCTTAGCTCTTCTACCCTCCACCCTCTAATTGCCTATTCTCTAGGGCCAAAATGACCCCAGCAATTGTCAGGTCAGGACAGTGCTGAGGTGACTGGATGTGCGCTCTCTTATACCACTGGCAAAGTTGGCCCATATGAATGATAACGTGTTGCTGTCAATGATTTTTTTAAAAGAATGGTATGAATTTCCCATGCAGCGACCCACGGAAAAGCGACAGCCTTGGAGATTATCAATGCCTGCTTGTCCTGAGAGATCTTCCTGCGTTCCAGTGAGAACCCTCAACAGGTGGGGACCCTCTCTGAGAGCAGGAGAGCTGCACAGCCACCACCGATCACCCACCCGCACGTTTCACAAGCTTGTGTCCTTACAGCCTCCTGTGCGTCCTCTCTTAGCTCAGAGCCCTGTAAACCCACATCTCCGACGTTTACCAGGGAGATCAAACCAGGTCCCCGAGGACATGTCACCCTCATGGACACTCTTCCAACACCATAACATCTGTTGGCACCTATAAATCCTGTCCTCCATGCTCAGTTCCGGGCTGTAACCCTCCCTTCCACAGCAAGAGCCCCTCTGGAGAGGCATTCAAAGCCAGGTCAGTTGTGCTGGTGCTGCATGGGATTGGGATGTTTCTTCCCCCCAGACAGTGATGGGATTTTCCCGCACCAGTCCCCTGAATGGTTAATTGGATCTTGAATGGTTTATCACTTCTTTCACTGGGGTGTGTGGCTGGATTTACTTTGACACAAGCCGCTTTCTGAATTGCAAGTTGGCAACAATAAAAGGGAGAAGTCTTTAATTAGTTATCTGGCTAATTAACTTTTACAGCACTGTATAGCTTTGGCATCCAAATACTGCAATGCAAAACATTGCAAACATTCAAACGAAGACTACCCACCCCACCAGGAAGCTGCTGCCACTAGTGGTTGTGGGGGAATAACGTCTCGCAGCCTTGCCCAAGGTGCATGGAAATCCACCTCTCGCTGTGCCGTGCTCCCTGGACTCCCTGCACATCCCCTTCTGCAGATAACTCGCCTTCTGATGATGATGTTCAAATTAAAGATACAGAACATACATGGCTTCCCCATGTCGTACTCCTCCTTCCCAGCATGTACATTCACTCTGCCCTTGGGTGAAATACACACCAGATAAAATTTATTTTCTGCTTGAAAGGGGTATGTGGAGATCCCTGCATCCTCCTGCCATGCAGGGGAGAGTTTCACAGTCAGGGCCAGCGTACCGGCATCCCACAGTCCTGAGCCAAGAGAGAAACCCTTGACATAATATCACATCACACAGTAAGGAAATGCTCTCAAAGAGGGATCATCTCCGAAGCCTGTGGGATGACCCCCAAGAGCACAGTTTGGCTCAGAGAGTACAACAGACAGGTTGCTAGAATTAAGTCTCTCTCTCTGTTGGAACATGCAGGGTCCCCACTGCTTTTCCCACGCTGATCGGTGAGAGCTAGGGGTTTCGGGAGGCATGGTGCCCCCAGGATGTTCCCGTGTTGTTATATCTGCACCTTGTGGGCTAGCACATGTTCTACTCAGTGTGCACTGGAGTTTCGCCGTTACTGCATGTCCAGGCAAGCTCCCTAACTGCTTTCAGTATGAATAAAAAGGCACTGTAAAGGAGAAGGGACAGGTTTCAGGAAAAGCAAGAGAAGCAGTGTAAAGTGGGCCATCGGCTTTAGTCCACTTGCTAATCAGTACCATCCCACACGTCTGCCCCACTGCTCAGGGAGGCACAGAGGGAAGGGAGAGGTCTGTCTGATCTCAGGCTGGGATCCAAACTACGTCTACTTTGTTGTAGTTTGGACTGTAACTGAGATCTATTTAAATCTATTCAATTTATTTGTGCTAGAAAAGGATTCTGCTTTCTGGCAGGTCCAACTCAACTAAATAAAATCAGGGGCGATGCTTTCCCCCTTCCTGTACTGGTCGACATGGGATCTGGGGAGTCAGCTGAACCACCAGCTGACAGGAGTGCTGCCCTTGCTCAAAAGGCAAGTTGCTGCCTTTAATGTTACACAGCCAGCTGCCCAGGAAGGGTGGCTACAGGAGGAGTTCAGTAAAGCAGCACCGTGTTTGCACGCCACAGAGCTGCACACAAAAAGCAGGTCACAGGGAAGGTAAAAATGAAGTCAGCTCAGAGCTGCAGCATGAGTAACCGCTGCTACAAAAGGAGGCAAGGCCCTCTCAGCATCCAGTAAACACGGACATAAGAGATTCTTCTCCTCATTCATTTGCTGTGAAGGAACTGAAACCTGTTGGAGGGAATGATTTCACTCCATGAGTGCAGGGTTTGTGCCTTGCTCACTAGGGGTTTCTCTCTGCCAAGGAAAAAAGAAATCTCTGCAGATTTGCACTTGTTAAATGATAAATCAGCAAGGGACAGCGCAGGAAAGATGGGCTGAACCACTGATACAGGGGAGGAGATGAGGGGAAGGTTGTCCCCTCTGAGTACAGGCATGCATCTTACCAGCTCACCTTGAATCAGAGGAGAACCGAAACCTGGAAGGGACGGAGATGCCTGTGAAGTCCCCCTTTTTCCCCACACTAGCACTGGCTCATTCAGTCTGAGCTCCCATATTCTGCCAGCACAACCACGCAGCTGTGCAGCCCTCCTCCATCAGCGTCACAGTGGCATCCAGTCTGCCTGACTGCAATATTAACGGTAATGAGGCTTACAAGGGAGGAGAGTCCTTTGACCTGTGACTACATGCTGCTTGTGCAGGTCTGAAATAGCTGTGAAATGCTACGCTCTCTGTAGGCAGCTCCTAAGGCCTTGTCTAACCACCTCTAATACGTGTCAGAGTACGATGGTCTAATAAATCTACGGCACAGGTATAATCCTTAACACAAAGGCTGACATATAGGGTCCGGGTGTCTTTACAGGGTTACTGTATTCTCCTTACCACGCAGGAGCAGACTATTAAATGCATACACCCTTTAAATCGTGACCCTTCTATCAGGAACTGCCTCAGCTACAGTTGCCGTGTACAGGCAAAGCCCGGAGTTCCTTTAAAAACCCTACCTCAGAAGAAAAAATAAAGGACATGAAATGATTCATAGCACTTGTATGGGGAACGTTTTATGTTTTTGGTTTTGCTTTTGCTTTTCATTTTAAGCCATTTCAGACTCAGTTTAAAAAAACAAATCAAGTCCATTCTCTTCTCTTCCTCCTGGTGACAGGTTGCCCAGATGCCTGTCTGGGTCAAGGGGACACTGCTGCATTTTATTTTACCATCTGGCATCACTCAGCTCTGCAAATTTTTTAACCTCTTAATTCCCAATAGCATTTTGTACTTTGCTTATCCATCATTTCCCCATATTTGCTTTCCTAAACCTTCCAAAATAATTTCCATCAAACCCAAACACTCAGCAGCCCATATGTCAGCCTAGTTTCTAAGCACAAAGAGGAAAATATTTCCCCTCCTGAGCTGCAGAAGATCAAGTGCCCCCAGTCCCAGGTCAGACCTAAGCCTTCAACAAAAAGATTTTCCAGGGGTAGGCAAGAAGGTTCAAGTTCACCAAACTAGTTCACTAAAGCCAGGATCAGGCTCGCTGCTAGAGCTCCTTGGTGTTTATGGTCTCAGACTGTCACTTTGATATATCTCCTCCTCTCGGAGTATGTGCCTTGCACCCTGCTGCCAAAGCCACAGCTGCAGCCACTCACCGGGGCGGTGGCTGTTTCCACACTCCGTGTTCCTGGATGGTACGAATGCCTTTGCCGCACAACTCGTCCTACAGACCTACATACGCCAGGGAGAAAGGAGAGTCGGGCAGAAGAACTGCCAAAGAGACAAACGTTGTCCGAGGTAGAGCGATTCCTGCACCTCAGGTCCAAACTTGTCCTCTCGGTGCGAGAAACTCAAGACAGAAGAGGAAGTTTCCCAAACTGGTGACTTTTGAGTTGTTCAGAAATTTTCTGCCCCTCCCCTAAGCGTAGGTTTCCTTGAAGAACAGCATGTTCTCCACAAAAATCACAAGTGGTTTCCAGGGAAAACTTTGGAACTGCATGAAGTCTTACTTCCAATTTCAGATTATGTTTTTTGTTTAGTTTGGAGCTCATGAGTATTTTCTCTTCAGACACTGCCATGCTCATTCACTTTTCCAAACAGGTGGTGAAAAATGTTGAAGGAAAAATTCCTTTCCTGCCCTGAGGTTTTACTTTGCCCAGCTCTGAAGACAGGCCCATACTGCACACTTTTGCCACCACAGTTACATCAGCTCCACCACCTCCAGAAATAAAGACGTTAAGCCAAGAAAAGCAATCTCACACTGGTGAAGACTGCACCTCTGCTAGGAAGCTCTGCAGGTAGCTTCCCAAGTCAAAGACGTTACCCTCCGACTGCCAAGCCTTGGGCTCGCACCTCTGAACTGCTACGGGGAAGTCACTAATTTTTTCTGTGCCTCAGTCCCTATCTGCACAATAGCTGTGTACACATCCGTGTTGAGAGGGACACAGGGCTATGCTCTGGAGGATCGACGAGGAATGCTATGCAAGGTGTGGGCTATCTCATAAGCCATGAGCAGATGTACAGCACCAAGCACAGGGCCGGCAAGCTCAGCGCAGGAGCAGTACAGGTAGCAGGTGCTGCCAGAACTGTCTGCAGCATCACGCCCTTAGCGAAGCAGAGAAGTTAATTAAAAAGCAGGAAAGGAAAAGACCATTCAAAGAGCTGAGTCTGAATGACTAAAGGTCTTAGTCACTCATTTATGAAGATCTTAGGCAAAAACTCAGTTAAAAATAATTTTTATCTGGATCACGTTCCTTTACGAAATTTCTCAAATCATCCAGCGCAAACTACTGGCAAAAGTCACTCTCATTCCCTGAGACTTTCAGTGTCCAGGATGTTTTTGACAACTGCCACCTCCTCTCCAGGCCTGCAACATTCTCTTAGGCTGAGCAATCTCACCTAGCACAGGACTATGAAAGCTGCTACAGAAGAATGACTTTTGTCCTGCAGAAATCGAAAATGTTCTTCCCAAAAAATGTTGAGTTGAAACTTTCCGGTGTTTCAATAGAAACCTTCTCCAAATACGTCTTCTTGTTTCATTCAGGAAAAAAAAAAGCTCTTAACATTCCAGAAGGAAACAAAAATCAAGTGCAGAAAACTCCATGTGGAGGCTATTTCAGAAGGCTATTTCACATTTTAAGAAATACTGAAAACATTCAGCCAGCCCTTCACGCAATACGGTGGTGATAGAAATGTAAGAGCACATGGGAAATGTTAAGCATGCTGTACTTATGGATCAGTGGTTTGGTTTCCCATGGTGCCATTCCTACCAGAAATGCCCTGTTAAATTTTTTAATACGTGGGTTTTTTCTCAACGGATCGGCGGTTCTCCCAAGCTTACAGAACACAGCACACACAGTTCTGCCAGAACAACTATGTGGGTGGGGTAAAAGCAAAAGGAAGGAGCTGGGATGGCAGTACTTGAAGCTGCCTGTTGCCTCCAAAGGTTTCATAAAATCAAACCACAGCCCAAACTGTGCCTTCCTCATGAGATTAAGACTGTATTTCCTGCAGTGCCCCTCCTCAAGAAAGAAAGATATCCGTCAGTCTGACTCAGGAAAGGTTGCAGGGTTTGCCCTTGTGGTCTGAATCATCTGTTGCACACAGAGAGGCAAGAGGTGGCAAATTGAGAGTCCCCGAAGTATCATCGGTATTACAGCAGTATGCAAAGACTCACCTACAGATGAGGCATTGTACTAAGGAGTGACAACCCCATCCCAAAGCATTTATGCTCCATATGAATAAAGCAGTGGGAGAACATAGGCAAAGTGGCATGATTTGCCCAACGATGGAGGGCGTTATCAAGCCTAGTCCTCTGCAGCAGCCGGCATCCCTGCCTGCAATCACAAAGGCATCACAGGCGAAAAGACCACAGAGCAGGCTCCCAGTACACCGACAGCTGCAATGGTGCTTCCTGCCCTTCACACTCAGGTAACGAGTCTTGCTCCTGCCGGCACCTGGCCCGTTGCCTGCCTGGGCCCCCAAGGCCAGAGACAGGCGAGCAAAACTTCGGTGTGTACAACGCAAACTCAGTGCCTGCCATTAACAGGCTGCTGTAGAAAATACTCGTGTAGGCCACTGTACAGGAGGGTGCTAGGCAATGCAGAGGGCGGAAGGAGTTTTAGTGAAGCTTGCCAAGTTTTTAAATGGGTCTCGATGAGAGCCTGGGGCTTGGAGGAACAACTGTATTTTGTTTGATAGGCAGCGACATCTCGTGGCACAGCCCCCCCCGGTTTGCCACCAGCAGTACACTTGGTTTTTTCTGGGACAGGTTCTCAGTCATGCTAAAATCAGGGAGAGTTTTGCCAGAGAGTCCGGTGGAGCCCAGATTTCAGGGCAGATGTTTCACAGGAAACGATGATGATGATAAGATTCACCACTTGCAAACGCTTACTAAAAATCACACGTCAGCTTTAAGAGAAGCTGCCTGAGGGCTCTTTGCAAGACCTTAATGAGACTGGCCCTCGAATTGCTTCCTATTTTGTTCAGGCTGCTACAGGAAGCATAAGAGCCGTGTGTTGGTACTTGCTCTGCAGTTCGGATGCTAAAGGGGAATAGACCTAGGACCCTCCAGACCCTTAGCTTTTTTTCTGTATAAAGGATTATAGTTCTTTTTGCGTGAGAAAGAGAAACTTCATAGAAATTAAACAGAGGTAGCAAAACAGCCAAGGAACAAGAAAAGTACTGGTAACAGAAGCCTAGGGTAAGAAGAAATGGAGATTTTGGGAGAAAGTTGTGACTGAAGAAACTTGTAACTGCATCTCGTCCTACGGCTTGAATCGTACCATGTTCAGGGAAATGAGACATGATCCGTTCATGGTAAACATACAAGCTTTTGCCAGTACAAACCCAGATCCATCAGCCCTTCTCACACTTAGTACCCAGAACTGACATGCACAGGTATAGTAACGGGCTGTGTGCTGGGCTTGGTGCGTTTTCCATCTGGGGAAGGCCCAGAAAAGTCCCTTTTCTCTATGCCGGTGTTATCTTCTGTGTGGTAACTTCATTGACCCATTTCATTTCCTCATGGCACAGGCCTGGAGGTGATTGTGATGGGAAGAGCAGGAGAGTAGATGTGCCAACCAAACAGCACAGCTGATCCGGCTATTTTTCCCCCCTCTCTCTCTGTGCACAGGATGCAATGGCACAGCTATTCCAAGCGCATAGGCCTGGACACACTGTACTTGGTAGCATAGCTCACGGCTGAACCAGGATGTTTCCTGCTATGTTTCTTTTGTTCAGAACAAAACTGCTGTCTCCATGACTTTGCTTGAGGAAGATATGTGAGGCTGTAATATACAGCAGCAACTTCGCAACTGAGCTTTGCCCTGGGAGAGCTCTGGAATCTAAAGGTACCACAGGCCTGAAAACACAAACACCTCGAGAGTTTCATAGCTGCAAATGCCAACAGCCAATGCGCTCATCCATGAGGCAGTGCAGGGGCCAAGAACCACCCGTGTGTTGGCACAGTCCTGGCAACTGGTCCTCATCTTGACTGATATTTTTGGGCTGATGACAAATAATTGATAAGTGGTAACTAAGGTGTAAGGAAATTGCAGCACTGGCATTCAACAAAACCACAGGATTTATCAGAAGGATCCATGTCCTTTCATTTACCCACACTGTATGGGGCAGATCCCTGTCCCATTTCTGCACTTTACTTCCCCTATCCGTAAAGTGGAGTAATTCCCTAACTGCTGAAAAACATTCTTAACCTGGTAACATAAATTAAGAGAAAATTTGTGATCTCTTGTAAACACAAGACTACCATAATATCACAAACTACTGATTGATTACTGGGTTTTATTGCTAGGTTATTATCAGGTATCTCATGCAGTAAAACATTTTTTGATTTCTATTAACATTTCACAGCCACATAGGTGAATTCCAAAGGTCAATTTTCTAATGAGGTGCCTCACAAGATCAGGCTCACACTGTTGTACCGTGCTCCTTCTGCACATAGCCTGGGACAGAGATCGGTTGTGTTACACTGGAGGGCGTAGTGCTGCAGTCTTTACAAGGTTTTTCTTTCCCCAGAAGCACCCTCCCTCCCAGCTGCCCCTTTCCAAGCCCAGTGCTATATTGGGGCCACACCAGGAAGTGAGGCTGCCTGCATGTATGCGGTTCCCTAACTGCATGCGCTCCGTCATTCGTACCGCTTGGGACAAGAAAACAACATGAGGAAAAGGTAGCAAGAAAAGAAATGCAAGTGCAAAAGTTCTGCTTCAGCATGTTTACCTGGCGAGTCGGAGTCCTGATGGCACTGTGGTTTCTTTGGCAGACTAGAGGTACGGTACAGTTACTTTTCATTTCACTATGCTGTGTGGCTTTGCTTGTAGGAGGAAAGACATATACAATGGAAATTTTAAGCAGTTTAAATGGGAATGATTCACATAAAGCGAAATAGTCCATTGTAAGGAAATGGCAATTTAAAATCTGCCTATAGAATGTGTCTTGTTGAAGGCTAGTGATGTACATATTTATCTACTAGAAACAATAGGTGCCAGGAAAGTACAAGTGGGAAGCCTGCGTGCTGCATCTCGCTGCATTCGTGGTGGGATCTGCCTCTGAAGAACTGGCATTGAATGAGCAGTGTGAGCCAGCTGTGTCTGCCTGGTCCAAGGGCTAGGAGGTGGGAGCACAAGGGAGTCAGGTTGGAGTTTGTGGGGTGGTAAACCAGGTCACAGTGAAATCCAGTGAGACCATGGGGGAAGCCACGCAAAATTATAGAATAGGATAGTTCATGCAAATGTAGGTCCTAATTCTAAAAGCTGTTGAGATGAAGATGTTTTACAAGAGATGAGGAAAACATGACTACATCACAGACATACATGCTTCCATAGCTGACTTCGAGTCTTAAATGAAGTGAGCTGCTCTGCCTCAAGTTTTGAAACAACCTTGGACAAAACCAGGTGGTATTTCCTGTCTCCAAAGATATTTTAAATCATTTACATAATTTTCCCTTTCAATTAGGTCATGCTCAACCTCCTCCTCCTCCACAAAATGTTACGCTATTGACAAAGGATTTTGACATGATTTTGACCTGGACTCCAGGAGAAGGCTCTCCACCAAATGTGACATACACTGTGAGGTATGAAAGGTAAGTGCTTACAAAGGATGTCTGATTGAAAGTATGGCACAGGGCAAACATCTGTGCGTGTATATTAATCAGTGTCATTATGACCAGCGACCTGGCTGCATCCCTTCACCAAAACCAATCCTTATCCATCTGGAAAGTGCTCCAAACTTTCAGTAAGATTTGGTACCCATCCTCCAAAACACTTCCTTCTCTTGCTCTATAAATTATAACAAAACAGCATGTTTGATATTATGGTATGCTTGTTTCTTCTTTTAGCCAGGAACGCATGGACAAATGGATAAAGGTTCCTCATTGCAAAAATATTCACAGAACCTCTTGCAATCTGACTTGTGTGCTTCCAAACTTATTTGTTAAAGTCCGGGCTCGAGTAAAAGCTGTTTCTGGACGATTCCAGTCACCATGGGTAGAATCAGAATCCAAGGAATACTATTTGGATGGTGAGTGTCTGTTAGGTTACAGCCTGGATGCAAGGACATCCCAACAACAGCATTGGCATGAGCAAATGAATAGACCACACACCACAGAAAGAGAAACAGTAACAAGCAGCTTTATGAATGACAGAGATTTGAGTGAGCACAAACAACAATGAGCCATGTTCATTTGAAAATAAATTTTGTAGCAAGTGTCAGAATTTGCTCAACAGTGATCTAGGTGAACAAACTGGCTTCAAGCTTTTGACATACCAGCAGGGATATGTTAGATAAAAAAGAGGTATTCCTTTGCCTTCCGCCTCCCTTCATGTCTATCACAAGATACCAGTTAGAAGTGTAGATCAGTCACAGAAAAAGCATTACTTCTGTGAAGCTAAGACACAAGCAAGGACCACTCTTATGTCTGGTCACTCAATTACAGTGGAACTCGCTCCCCCAGTGCTAAACGTGAATATCAAGGAGAACTTAATGCATGTGAATGCCTCCTTCCCTTTGGCCACCTGCGTGGAGAGTTTCTTTTGGATGTATGACTTGAACCTTTGGAAAGCTGGATCTGAAGACAAGGTCAGTAAAACTGGCACTTCTTAGATGAAACGGATTAATGATGCCCAGCTTGAATTGAAATAGCTTCAAATTTCTGGGCAGGGAGGGACTGGATCCAGGGCCTGGAGAAAATGAAATGGCCAAAATAGAGTTAAACCAAAGCCGGAGAAAAAAAGTAGATGTGTGTGTGCATCTGTATTTCATTGGTAGTTCCCTATTTTTATCAGGAAGATGTGATGGGGAGGCTACACTATAGTCAGTATAATAGAGCAATATCTGAGGTTTAAAACTTGTTCAGGTACCACTGCCAGCGTGCCATGGCAGAACAGGGCACAGCACCAGCTGGAAATCCCACCCTAGAATCCATAAGCCCTAAGAGAGGTGTTTGCTACAAACAGCAGGCAAGGCATGAAGTGCCTCTCCATGCACCTCCCAACCACTGGAGCCGCATAACATAATGAAGAGAATCACGGGCTAAAAAGGGAGGGAAACACCACTCAAATAATGAAAGAATGATCTTTCCAACCCTCTGTTCTTTTTGTTTCTAAACAGAAGCAATACGAAGGTAACTTTAAGCAGTATACAGTGACTATCGATACCACTGCACTTAGAGGCAACTACTGTTTAAGTGCCAGATCTTCCTTCCAAAGCACTGACTTCAAGTACAGCAAATTCTCCCAACCAGTGTGTGTGCTGTTAAACCAAAAAGGTATGGCCCTGCTGAGAAAAAGATGTGGCGAGACTTCAAATGGGATTAGGGCAAGTCAAAGATTTCCACCAAAATTAGTTTTTTAACAAAAAAAAAATGGGCTTCCTGTTAAATGGACTGGTTGGATTTTCTAGTGAAAGGTTCCTGCTTTCTGTAGAAATATTTTCATTTAAAAAAATCCAACCCTGAAATATTTTCTGAAAATCCTAAAATATTGTATTTGAGTTATGCTCACAATGAAATTTTGGAATATTCACATCTATCCTGAAAAATATGTGAATAAAGCCTCATTTTTTACCTGCTCCAAGTAAGGCACTGGCTGGTATCAACATTCATTTGTGGCTGTGACTGACTTAGAGTCTGATCTTAGGCAAGCCTGTTATCCTTTCCCTGCATTTGTAAAATAAGGATCTTGAGCATAACATTTTCTGAGATTTCTGAAAGAAAAGCTGAGTATAAAAGCTCATTATTACTATAAAATATACCACCAGCAGGAGATTATTTTTGTCTTTTTCTTTTTGAGCAGTGCAATGGAAGTCCCTGTTTTCTGCCATGATCCCTGTGTTTGTCCTCCCCATCTTTCTGACAAGTGCCTTCATCACCTGTTTGCTGAAACAAGATGCTAAGCGAAAGAAGATGCCTCATACTTTGGTATGGCCCAAATGCTGGGGTCCCATCCTGACTCCAAGTCTTGCTGATTTTCAGAGGGTAGCTGGGGAGGAGTGGGGGAGTTCTGTGCTTCTCAGTTTTGCATTCATAAGTCCCATTATAAGCAAGCCTTCCTATAACCAAACTTTTCTTTAAAAAGCATCACTAACTCGCTGATCTGCGTGTGTTCTTTCTTTTCCCTGGTAGAATTTATCTCATTTAAAAGCTGCTGGACCAGCCTTTCACTGTGAGCTCAGCGAAAAGGAATTCTTCAGTGACTCTCTTACCTGCACAGAGAAGCCAGCGTCACAAAGGAAGACAAACACAGCTTTAGCAAGAAACAACCTACCATGGATGGGTTCTTTCTTCTCATCATCAGAGGAGGAGGAGGAGAAGGAAGAGGAAGAAGACAGCAGTACTTTCATCCCATACACTGAAATGCCTCAGTTCCCAAAGAGGCATCTCAACTGTCAACCATCCAGAACAGCTCAGGGGGAAACTGGCTCAGACTCCGGATCTGGAGGTCTCTCTGTGGATAGTGAATCTGTGCCTGACCTAAGTACCTTGGGTTTCTCTTTCTTTCCAATGAGAAAGAATGAGGTGGACACCTCAGGATCCCAAGGAGATGAGAAGGCATCCCTCTCTCGCAGTTCCTCTTTGGGAATAATATCCCTCACTGATGTGGAATTCCCAGGTCCCAGGGAACATGGACAGCATGATACAGACAGGGATGAATGCCTGGATGTGACCTCTCTTCAAACACCGATGGAGGGGATTTGTGCCAAACTTCCAGCCGATGAGCACGGCCTGCATAGGAAGGCTCATCATTTCACCAAGTGTTACCAGAAACCAACAGTTGGTCAGCATGTCCAGATCGGTGAGCTATCACAGCTCAGTGAGGATCCCAGCACTGAGCTGCTCATTTCCTTTCAGGCATTACAGGTGGCAGAAGACGAAGGCATTGCAAGTGACTGTGACAGCGATAACCTTACGGAAGGGACACCTCCCGCATCCACGGTGCTAAGTGACACATTTGAAACTTTAAATATGGAGGAAAAATATGATCAAAAATTTAAATTCAAAGGCCACAAGCACACATCTTACATGGGAAGGAGCTAGAGTACCCTAGCAGTTCTGTGGCCTGCCTGGAAAACATTAGAGAGCTCCAGATATCCAGGCAAGGATACCTAAACAAGAACAAGGACAAATAATAGATAGCAGTGCTTTTTGTATTTATTCACCTAGACAGAGTTTTTTCAACTGATGTCTGGCCTATCAAGGCATATGGCTTTAGGGATACAAAAGGTGTATTTTAATGTACATTCGCCATCCCAGTGTTACGGCTCTGGTATGAGGCACACTATTCGAACCCCGCCAGGGGTGAGGCATGCAGTGATACCTCATGTCCGTATCACACAGCAAACACGCAGTGCCTTGTGTTCCCTTGAGATTTCAGAGCAAGGTAACTTTTACATGTGAGTTATGAAAGGCAAAAACACCTCTGAGACAGCAAAAACACAAGCCAGACCTGTGTGAAACCATCTGATGGGTTCTGAAAACCCAGAGTGTTGTGTCTGCATGTTGATTTTGAGCCAGGATGAACTGCTAACATTACATTTGCTTCTCTGTAACTGCAAAACTGCACCCCAGCTTGACTGGAAGTACCTTACAGACACATTTAGCAACCTTTGCTTTTTGTGGGATGAAAAGATCTCCACCTCAACCTATAGAGATCATGTTCTGTGTTTAAACAGAGTGAACTGAAGTCAAAGTGATAAATATGCAGTATGTTTAATTTTTTAATTATTTTTGGTTTTATACAAGTATACTTATTGAAGCTGAAATTCCCCCTGCTGTGCAGAATGTCTGAGAGCTGCTTTATGCAGAGGCAATATATTTTGATACACAACTCCATGTGTCTGTGTTTTTATGTTTCCCAGAACTACAAAGGGTGACTGCAGCTCATCCTGAAAAACATTACATTTTAAAAGAGGACCCCATCATGGGCTTCCTAATGCTTTGGTTTGAGTGGAATCCTCTGGGACTTCCCAGCCAGGTCACTCTGGGGCACTGAAAGACCAGGACTGTGACCATCTCTCTGAGCAAAGAATCAAGTCAGAAGTCCACCAGCAAAAGGCAGAGTAGAGACAAGGCCTCCCTTGACTGGGCAATACTGACCTTTTCAGTGTATTTTTAATTTGCACTCTTCACATCTCACAGAAAGGTAATCTCCCATTTTATTCCAGTAAAAGGACACGCAGAAAAGCAAAGCGTTAAAAGAAAGAGGGAGACACACAACAGCCCTTCTCTGCATTCAGAGAGTTGTCTCAGATGAAGGAAGGGTGTTGATGAAGGGTATTAAAGCTGACATCTTCAGAGAATAAGGACAACAACATTAAAAAGAGGTAGGGGGTGACAGGAGGGCTTGGAAACTGCTTTGAAAGGGGAAAGCAAGACATACTAATTATAGTCCTGAATTAAAGTAAAAAGGGGAGAAAAGATTCATCAACTAAAACTTCCCTGGTTTTTTTTACTTGTCCTCCACAAAGTGTCCTTAAGTACATCCTGCATTGTAATCCCTCCAGTTAATTTAGAAAGATATGGATCATCCAAACACAATCAACACCAATTTTCTTGCGCAATCAAGGAAAAAACCCGCAGGCTTTGAGTTACAGGAAGTAACTCAAAGTTGTGTAACTTTTACAAAATTATTTTGACACGTCACAGCTCTGCAAACAGGGCCTGGGATCAGTTCTTTGTCTTGTCCAGTTTTTCTTAAGATGGAACTGGGAGAAAGGCTGCAGGCCAGGTGAGCTGTACTGGGGGCCAGGTGAGCTGAACTGGTGGAAGCAGCATCCCACTCCTCTGTGTTTTATTTCACCAGGGCTTGAGACCTGCTTTCCACTGCAAAAGGGTCAGGGATGGCTAGAGCACAGTGCTCACCCTTCCAGAGCAATCACTCCATATCTTGTCACAGAATCATAGAATTGTTTAGGTTGGAAAAGACCTCTTTTCCTCATGAAAACACCTAACTTTGTGTCGTCTGCAAACTTACTGAGGGTGCACTCAGTCCCTTCATCCAGAGCATTGATAAAGATATTAAACGGAACTGGTCCCAGTACTGAGCCCTGGGGAACACCACTTGTCACCAGCCGCCAACTGGATTGAACTCCATTCACCACCACTCTTTGGGCTCTGCCAAAACACCTTACTTACCAGTTGTAGCTGTGTGGTGAGGAAATCGGCTCTCCCCTCTCATTGGAAGAGGTATGACCCAGTCAGCCAAAAAGCCTGGACATTGCTCCTCTACTGGATGAGTGCAAGAGCTGGAATCAAATCTCTTACATCCATGGATCAGCAGTCAGTAGGGTTCACGCAGCCCTCAGAGTGGGGCTCTGCAGCCAGAGCCCTGCAGCAGCTCAGAGGACAGGACCTCCCCATTTTGTCCACAGTTATGACCATACTCACAAAGGATAAAGGAAGCCAGAGAAATAAGCCAGTGAGGTTGTCCAGTTTGTGTGAAGGGAATAGCTATACTAGAAAAATTCAAAAGCAGTGGCTAAGGGAGTTTCCTGAGCCTCAAATGCAGGCTATATGCGTGAAGCTTTCTCCGCTTAGGACATCTTGGGTAAAATAAGCAGCATGCAGCTGTACCAGTTGTCAGATGTTATACACATCTGGTGGTTCTCAACCCACATCTCCTGGAGACAGACAGTTTGTTTTCACTTTTGACCAAAGAAGGAAATGTCTCTCCCTCTTTTGAGAGTAGCCTGAAAATGTAACTTAACACCACCCTAAAAAACTAAGAATGCTATGGAAAAGGAACCAGAGCTATTTCTTGTTTATGATGTAGATGAGAAACAGATGGACGGGCAGAGGAGAGAAACCAATTTCTCAGGCAAAAACAGCAGTTTGACCTAAGGAATGTAGAATGCCATGAGGGCGGGACTGATAAACCAAAAGTTAGACTCTCAATAGTACTATTGTATGAGCTTGTAAATCTGCATGCTTGCTAACTACTAAGATCCTTGATGTGCAACTGAAGATTGATAAAGAGGAGCATCCTACCCCGGACCATTAGGCTGGAAAGTTGCCACGTGAAGTCTAAAGTCAGCAGAAATCAGCAGCAACTGAGGGAAAAGTAAAGGCGGCAGGGGGAGATTGTGACCACCAACTCAATTCAAGACTGAAAAGATGTGACTTGCGTTACCCTCCGCCACCTGTAAGGAGCATGCGTGCTAGTTTACATAGCAAGCGAGGCTAATTTAAATATAACTAACCAATAACAAATGATGGTGTAATTACTAACCAATAAGTGTAAATTTGGGTGGGTTTTTGCTAATCATGTAACAGGATAAATATGCTGTAGTTTTTGTGTGGAGCTGAGCCACCTTTGTGGGATATCACCTGGGTCCCGGCTTTGCACAAACCCATAATAAAAGGAATACCTCGATTCTGTGTGAATTGGCTTGCATACTGGGTGAAGATCCCACTTTTTGGGACAACATTTAGATTTCACACAAACTCCCAGTTCTTACCACATGGCATTCATGATACTCAGTGCAGAGCCTTATATTTAAGCATCCACAAAAGTAAACTGTAGGTCTACAGTGGCCTCTGAGAAAAGCCATGGGACAGCACGTGCCCCTCCTATGGAAAGGCTACCTCCTCTCTACGACAAATGAGAGAACCTCTGCAGACACCTGGTACTGCAGAGCCATCGCAGACTCGAGGAGCTCGTGCTCTGCCCGGTATGCAGCAGGGCTACAGGCTAGTCATTTGGCTCCCATCCAAGGCCAGTATGAACAACAGAAGAGCTTAAAAACTAGTGATCTGGCTGACTTTCATTTCAAGAAAGTATTCAAAGGTATTTCTTAAGGAAATAGGTGTCTTGCTTGCAGCAGTTATAAAACCAATGAGGTACACAGCACTAAGTTTTAATTTCTAGAGTTTTAACAGCTCAAAGTTACCTAACCAGAAAAGCAAGCCCCAAAACTGAGAAACCTCAGCGAGGGCTTTCAGGCAGGAAGCTTTTTATCAGCAAAATGGCATTTGGCCGTCTTTCAAAAGCTAGGGATTTTCTAAGCTTTTGGCTTGTGCACCTTTGTACAGTTAGGTGTGCACTCAGAAAGGGAGAGGTGCTCCTGTTGTCACTCTTACATTCTCGCTTACACATGCGCACCGATCTTTAGCTGGTGATCTCAGATCTGAATGCAGACGGGATAGTAGCTCTGCAGCCTGTTACTGAGCAACAAATCCAACCTGGCCTCACAAACAAGAATTTAGTTCTTGTAAAAGGTGATTCACCTGCACACAGGATCAACTGCCTGCTCTCCCAGCCCAGCTTACATAGCTATTCATGAAGCAATTTCTGATCGTCTTGGCTGTATTTTCAGTGGTCGGTAAGTCCTGACTTCTCCTTTCGTGTCACTGATCGTGATTGTTTCTGTTTGATCCTGTAGTATGGGAGGTAGTTCAATCAGGTTTACTGAAGTAAGACCTAGAGAATGAGCTCTCTTCTGTGTTGCTTTCTCTTTTTAATATTTTTAAAGTACAGTTGGTGTGCTCGGTATTTTAAGGATTAGTAGGGAGAAGAAAAGATTCCTTCAGTTCAAAGCGTTTGCCACTGATGTGTTACAACCCAAATCCTACAGGAGTAAAGGATATTCACTGACTTCAGGGGCTTTGGATTGGTCCCCCTGTGTCTTACGCAGAGACGCAAATGAATACAAGAAGAGCCCCGATTTTAAAAGCGGTACAAACAAATAATGTATCGCTAAAAGCCGTTTAATCCTACTCCAGATGTGGCAAACTCGCTCCTGGGTGAATCGAGGATAAACTTGCTATGTTTTCAAATGCCAGCTTTTCAGCAAGCCACCTTATCATTCACCTGCTCTTGGGTCTGTGATCTTAGACTGTAG